TATATATATATATATATATATATATATATATATATGCTGTGTGTGTGTGTGTGTACAATTGACTGATATGCTAATAATATTCTTAACATCAATAATCACATATTTATCTATCCATTTTAATAAATCTTCATTGTAATTAATCTTTCTCTTATACTTTTAAGTTTCTAACTTCTGTTTCTGCTATGTAGCCATTGATAAAAGAAATCATGTTAAAAATACTCAGTTTCTTTTTTTTCCTTAATTTTAAGTGTTAATCTATCCATTTCTGCACATTCTAATATTTTTATTAGTTTCATCTGTAGGGATCTCTTCATTTTTCCATTGTTGTGCAAACACAATTCTGACTGTTGTTAACACATGTAAAATTAAATATGTACTCCCTTAGTTATATTTTTCTGGTAAAATATGCAACAAAAATACTTCTGACTTTAGAAAATCTATATGTTGCTTTATTATTTTTTTCAAGCCATGTGTGTATTTTTGTTCATTTTATTTTATTTTTTTGCTTTTGGGCTTGTTCACCACATGTGATAATATGTACCCGGTTATCTGGTTACACCCCTAGTCCTTCTTTTCACTAGACTAGACAAACCCAATTCCTGCAATTGTTCTTCATGTTTTAGCCTCAGCCTCCTAATAATATTTGTTGCTCTTTTCTGCACTTTCCAGAGTCTCAACATCTTTTTTATAATATGGTGACCAAAACTGGATGCAGTATACTTAAGTGTGGTCTTACTAAGGCTTTATAAAGCAGTATAGTGATATTTCTTTGTCATGGCAGAAAAAAAAGGACAAGACAGTCTCATTGTAAAATGCCTATTAGAACTCTAATGGAGAAGTTGGGTTCAATTCTTTATTGGGTTTGCATTGTGTAGTTAAACCATGGATTGTTTAACAAATTAATTAATATTTACCTATCATGCAAAAACATTATAGTTGGCTTGGGCAGCACTTTGGATTTGAAGGTTAAAAGATACTTTGAAGCATCAGGAATGTGAAGGGCCCAGGTACTATAGTTCCAAATCTCCCACCCCCCCCAAGAATGGCTGGTAGCTGCATAGGCCAGCTATGTAAACCCAAGAAAAGATGTGATTCCTTTAAGCCATCACTGGCAAATGTGATGCTTGTGTCCCCGAGGTACACAAAAGCACATATTTGCCTTCAGATTCAAAGTGCCCCAATAGTCCTAGTTTATAAATCATATTGATCATGATGAGGCTGGCCTGAATTGAGATGTCAGCAGATATTGTATTTGTAAACAATAGTGTTAGTGGCTGGGAACAGACTAATGATATAAACAAAAAATAAAAGCTCATATGTATGTTTTGTCCATCTATTTTAAAAGTTCAGAAAGAAGTGAAAGAAGGTAACAAAGTTCCAGATCTAAAATTATTAATCACATGAGATATTTCTTTTTTTATAATAAAAAGAGGCAGAGCTCCAGGTGACATGGAAGAGTGGTGAACAAAACCCATTTAATTGCTTACTTTACAATATTTCTAAATTGCCCTCATAGTTTACAAGACAGTGAAAAAGAAAACAGGATAAAACAAATAATAGAATAATAAAAAGTAATGATAGCCATGCATTCCATTTACAATTTGTCATCAATAAATTCATTTAGGCACACCAATTGAGTACCAGATATCAATATTTTGCTGAGCTCTTAGTTCTAGAAATAATTATAGTTTTAGAAAACCTTTGGGTGAGTAAATTCTGTTTTTTTTTTCACTTCACAAAATGTTTGCGTGGTCAACATACCTGGCAGATAAAATAACTTGGATGCAGTCTAACTGATGGAGTGAATCAGATCTTGAAATCTATGGATCTAACATAACTGAAAATCAAACATAAGGCTTTCTTGGTCCCAATGAATGCACACATTATGAATCTGAAGTGAAGCCATTGTCAAGACAATAGGAAAATGCATCAGGATGTTGAAGATAAAGAAGTTCATGATCATGATAGTAGGAATGACTGTGCACTCAAAAACTGGCCAGACCTTAAGAGCTTGTCACTGATATTTCCATCCACATTGGGAATTTATTATGCTGAGAAGGCAAGGCATAATAGTGTGTGATTGCAGAAATGATAAAATTGACCATAGTACTAGAATATATTGGAGAAGATAGTTATATGTTAGTTATAGACAACTTAAATCTTAAGAGTAAAACAAAGGACCAAATCATCCCAAAGATGCTTTTCAAAAGACAACTGGACTTTCTTGATTTTTTTTCTTGAAGACTTTTCCGCTTCTCATCCAAGCTTTAATTTGAAGAAAAGAAAACTGAATAAGCTTCTTGGATGAGAAGCAAAACGTCTTCAAGGGGGGAAAAAAACCCAAGAAAATCTAGGTATCTTATGAAAAACACCTTTGGGACAACTATGACCCAGATGATTAAGAATCTCCATTGAAACAAAGGGCCAAATGTTGATAGCTATGGTCAAAACCCTGGATACTTTGTAATTTTTTAGAAATCCTCAGCTCTGACAAACCTGGTTTCTAACTAGCCCAAATCTGAAGTATGTACGGAATCTGTTTGCAAAGTACCTCTCTTCTCCATAATTATAGAACTTAATTGTTTCACCAGGAAGGAGAGACTAAGCAAGATGTTCCTGAGCAAAATGGCTCAATTCTTAACAATACAAGCACAAGTCTTTTGCATGCCAGTATTGTTTTTCTTTTACAGAAAGACACTTCCTGCTAGCTCCCAACTGCCATTAGAATATTGTGATGAGCAAGAAGAGGAAACAAGACAAGAGAATGGTGAGATTTCCCTTTTTCACAATAGCATTGCCACAATTCTTTGAGTCTTCCATTTTCAAATTCAGAATTAGATTATCACAGACAGGATCCATTAAGATTCCCTGCCCAATGAACTCATCTCATAACTCATCAGCTAGGCCAAGGGTGATGTCATGTTGCCATCATATGAATATGTTTTCCCCCTTCACGAAGTTGGGGTGGGCGTGGCCTGCACATGACATTTTCGATCCACGGGCCACCAGTTTGACACCTCTGAGCTAGGCCCTCTTTAAACTGGTGGTTTAATTGCTTTATATTCCAGTCCAAATCTTGACCTAATATCTGAAAGTCTACCACATACGCACTCATCAACCATTTATCTTGTAACAGGCAGTTGATTTTATGGTTGGCTATCATCAGTTTAGCAGAATTATGAAAAACACTCCTCAAACACATCACAAAATTATCATTATTATCTATATCTAAGCTATTTTGAATCAGAAGGGGTAGGAAGTTTTATACAGCCATCCATTATTCAATAATATTATGAATCTTATGAAGAACTGATCTGTAGTAATTTCTCCAGGTTTTTTAAAAGTGTACTTCACACTGAGTGAGAAAGATCATATTTTTTGCCCACATTCCCATCATACTTGCCAGGCAAAATGAGAGAATAGTGGAGAACTGTAATTGTAGCAGCTATTGCAACAACAGTTCCTAAGACAAGTGCAACTGCACTAGGATTACTGGTGTGTTGAGCTATGGTAAATTCTGGTTGGCCCATTAGCAGAGCTAGATCATTCAATGAATGGATTGATCTTTCTAGGTTACCATTTGATTCTGATATTGGAGCAAAGCATTAAAATCTAACCCATGGTAAACAAGACAGCAAAAGGGGTTTAATAACCATGGTCTTGGCCTAGAAAATCTGAGCTGGCCTTTCAGTGGATCAGAAATAAGGAGAAATGTCAGGTATATCTGCTTTGACCACTTGCAATAACCTTCCTGCTGAATTTTTCAGTCTCAGAGTCTCTTATTATAGCAGCAAGCAATTGCAGAAAGATGAAAATCCATTCTTAACAAACTAGGAACCTGACAGTATTTATATGCATGCACCAAGACTCAAACTTTCTTTCACCTACTTATTATTTTTGGTGGGGATTACAAAGGATTATTTGCAGACTTTTTTCTCACACTGGCCCTATATTTGGCATTTAATGGCAAATGATCACTACTCAAGTTCTTTGTTTCCTGCCTTTTACCTCCAACTTCACAAAAATTAATGTTCAATTATTGATTGACATGCACCTTAGTATAAGGGTTGATATGTTCAGTTTTGTTTAACATTGTTAGCTCCATCAGATACATAATTTGATACTTCCTTCAGAAATGCAAGATTTCTTCCATAAAAACATGAATTGAACGATTCTAAACATTTCCATTTTCTATATTTTTTTCTGATGATGGCTGTTCCTTGTCTATATAAGGCTGAACGAGCAAAGTCAGTATTCCCACTATATAAAGGAAACCACATATGTAGAAAGAAAAGTCATATTTTTGTGTGAGATCATAAATCCATCCTAGAAAATAAAAAGAAAGCAGTCAATAGGGTACCGTTAGCAATAATCAAGAAGCATAGAACATTAGTTTTTCTATTAATACAGTATTGCTCATAGACACAATTCTATGTCTAACTTCTTTTTTTCATCTGTAACAAGATTGTCATATATTACATTAATTTCGCCACTCTCTCAAATCAGTTTTTTCTTTTATTGTCTTAAGCCTGAAACAGTAGCGGGAAGTTAGTCTGTTTCTTCAAATTTATATTTTAAATACACTTTTTTTCTATAAAACCTTTGGAATATCTACTTAAATCAAGAGGTGGACAACTTTGCTATGACTGTGGTAGACTTATTTATTGTCTCTATGGGTTTCAGGAGTCATGAAACTGACCCATCTACTTCCTATTTTTTCAAGGGTAATTGGGGTCACGGATTCGAACAGGGTTTATTTTTATTTGCACAAATCATGCCACCAAAAAATACTATTTGCCAATAAACGTTCTGCAAAAAATGGGTCAAAGAGGCATATTTTGCACAGTTTGCTAACCTAGGTCCTAAATCCTACTTTCACTAAACATAAATGCATGTGAGAAAAAATACACGTATTCCTGTTTGCTTCTCTTTTCAGTTTCTTCACTTTCATTTGCTCCTTTTGTATTTATTAAAATTGCAGAATCCTGGTGGAAGAAAACATTTCAGCCATGCATTTCAAACTCCTGCTCCATAGCAGTATCCACATTAAAGTATTCCAATAGATGTCCAGCCTCAGCATGAATTTATCCAATAAGCCCACTATCCTCAAGCTAGTAGAGTCTGTTGTTAAAATGCTCTTAGTATTAGAATTCCCTTCTCCAAAAAAAATCAATAAAAATCTGACTTCCTGAAAGACCATTACTGTCACTCTTGCATTCTGAGATAACTATATCATACTTATTGTTATAAATAAATATAATAATAATGTAATAGTACTATGGGATAATAAATGAGTATTCCTATAAAGAAAATGCTAAAACCTGTCTCTACTTGACATATTTTGCTGGTGTTTTGTAGAAAATGAACAATATTTGTTGATTTTCAAACTTTAGTATCAGGGCTATACAAAATATTCAAATGAGGTTTTTATAATTGGCAGGCATGCCATCAAAGCAATTGCTATGTCTTGTCTTTCTAGAGAAGCAAAATAATTGAGCATGTAAACATAGGCAGAGATAAGTTGTGATGGCACAGTGGTGCCACAATGCAGCATTGCAGGCTGACTCTGCCCACAACCAGGAGTTCGATCCAGACCAGCTCAAGGTTGACTCAGCCTTTCATCCTTTCGAGGTCAGTAAAATGAGACCCAGATTGTTGGAGGCAATACGCTGACATTTGTAAACTGCAAAGAGAAGGCTGTAAAGCTATGGTGGGGTATAAATCTAAGTGCTATTGCTATTGATACCATGTAAGTAAAAATGTTATGTTTACCTGCAAAAGGTGGTCCCAAGAGTGCTGATATCCCATTGGCGCAAATGATGATTCCGTAGGCATTTGCAAGATGCTTAATCCCTACTAGATCTTCAGTGACAACTGGCATAAGTGAAAAATATCCACTGGAAAATCCTATTAGGGCACAAACCACTGCGAGGCTAGCAAATGTATGCATTAATGGCAAAATAAAAATGCAAGAGACAAGAGTAAAATTAGCTGCCATGAAGACATTCCAAACACTGATGCAAGGCAAATCAGAGATTATGCCAAGGACCACCTTCCCCAAAATGTGAACAACTGCAATAATTGAGGTCAAAGGAAAGATGTCATTCTGTGCTGATAACCTGTACTGTTTCACTATTTCGGGGAGATGGATGAAAGGAATTACAAAAGTACTATAGGCAAATAAAGCCCAAAATACAAAAGCTGCAAATGTTCTGTTAGTGAAGAGAGAAGCAGTTCCAAAGTAACTGGAATACCAGGTCCTGAAGCCTTTCTGGCTTGTGACTGTCAGCTGCCCTACTCGCTTTAGAATACCAAGAGTATAGATTTCCTTTTGATCTCTGATTCCATCTTTATTTTCCAAGGCTGAAATTTTGGCAATCTTTTCTTTTGTACCCTGTCCTCCCTTTGCCTCTTTCTTCGCTTCCCTTAAAACACAATTCGATGTTAGCACTTCGGCAGAGCAGGAGAGAACGTTTGTTGGACTATTGCTTTGACTCTTGTTTCCATCATTGCTTTGCTCAGTAGCTTCCTTCTTGTAATGATTTGGCCTCAGAAGTGCTCCACAAACACACAGGTTCAGACAGACTGCACCATGAAGGAACACGGCATTCCTCCAGCCAAACTCCAAACAAAGATATTTCAACAAAGCTGTCATCAGGAAAGCACCAAAGCCTGTTCCAGTTGTGCTGAGTCCCTGGGCAAGAGCCCTTCTCTTTTGAAAATATTCTCCCACCATGACCACAGCAGGCAGGTACACCATCCCACTTCCAATACCTGAAACATGAAACATTTCAGACTTATCCAGGAACCTTCCATGATTGTGTTAATAGATGAAGATTAACTGCCAGAAAATCCTAAAACAGGAATGAAAGGCTGGGCTAAATATCTAAAGAAACATAGACATGTGGTTTTAGGTTTTGGCCCTCAGGAACTAGAAATGAGGCATGAATTGTTCTAGGATCTTTTTAAACTTTATGTGTTGGAAAGTAGTATTTCATCCTAAACTCATTATCGATGGTCACATTCCAAAGCCATCTCTCCTAGAGCAAATCTACTATTCAACTTCTGAATATCAACTAAGTTAGTACATTTGGGCTGCAACAGAGGTGAAGAATTTGTTAGAAGGCTCTCTCTTGATTTAAGAGGGGATCTACTTTTTAAATTTAGATTTAAAATCATAATCAACAAATGCAATACACATATGTGATTTATATCAGTCAGGCCCTTCCTTCTGGGCTAGTTCCAGGAAAAACCTGGCCTAAGGCCCTTCATTTTCAGGATGCCATAGGATTCAATATTCTCCTCCACTTTTATTCAGTATACAGTACATCTGACACTAGGTCATCTACTGTCAAGTATTATTAGTGTGCAGATGATTACATCTACATCCCTAGCTGAGCAAACTGTGCTATGGAAAAATTTCCAGTGCTTGGAGGCTGTGAGGATACAAATAAGGAGGCCCAAAACTAGTAAAACTAAGTGGCATTGGTTTCAAGGACCTGCCAATCCTAATGATTTACCTTCTACAGTTCTTGACTAAATATCACTTCTCCGGGTAGAACTAGTACATAATTTGGGAGTTCCTTTGGATTCTTGCTTCCTATTCAGGGAATAGGTGAGAGCAGATTCCAGAGCTTTTGCAGTCTCCCAAATGCCTCTTTTCTTGAATCAGATGGGCCTTCTCTCTGTCACTCATGTTCTAGCAGCTCCCATTTGGACTATTGCAATGCACTCTATATAGGACTACTCTTCAAGACTACTCTAAAATTCCAACTGGTCCAAAAGGCAGCTCCATGAATAGTTATGATTGAATACATACTGTGTTATATATGCAACTTAACACCTTAATCAAGCTTATGTAGCCTGAAGCTACAGTCTATGTGTTCACAAAGACAGACTTAGGCTTGTTCACGTTAGCATATCTATATTCTTCAGAAAAATAGATTTCCCAATGTATATCCAAAAATTATTAATGCTTACCAGCTATAATTCCAAATGTAATAAAGAGATAATGTACATTTGAAGCATAGGAACTTAATATCCATCCTAGGGCATTTAAGATTCCTCCAGTTATTGCTGTCTTCCGACACCCACAGGTGTTAATAAACAAACCAATAAAGGGACCTGTGACAGAACATGTGAAATAGATTGCTTTCATAAACTCTAATTATTTTCTTCACAAATATGAGACTTGAAAGCATTTAACTACAATTTTCCAAATCAGTATACATCCCATAAGCATTAATTAGTAAAGGTGAATTTACTAATTAAATGAATTTCAGATACTAGATGACAGCAACAAGACCTTACATGAATGTGTCTCAAAAAGCTAAATGTTTGTGGTACAAAACTGCATACTGGTAGCATCTAAGCTCTTATATAGGTAGTCCTCAATTTATGATCATAATTGGGACTGGAACTGCACCCAATGTTATGGCCTCTTTTGCCATAGTTGAATCACCACAGTCATTGCATGAATCACTCAGCCGTTAAGTAAATCCGACTTTGAATTTTGACTTTGCTTGTTGGAACCTCCTATGATCGTATGATCCCAGGATGTTGCATCTGCCATAAATAGATGCCAATTGTCAAGCACCTGAATTTTAATCAGGTAATTATGGGGACATAATGATGGCTGTAAGTGCAGGACTGGTCCTAAGTCACTTTTTTTCAGCATTGTTATAATTTTGAACAGCCATTAAATGAATGGTTGTAAGTCGAGAACTACCTATATATACATTAAAGGCACTTGAAGGCTATGTTTTCATCATAGATCAATTATCAATAACAATTAAGCATGCATGATTTTATTCCCTACACACACACACACACACACGCACACACACTAATTTAAGCCTGAAATTCAGATTTAATGTGCTACTCAATACCACAGATAGCCATCATATTAATCGTGATGCTGTAATTACAGCTTATTGAAGGTTATTCATCTGGACTGAAGAACCTCAAGATGGAGACTTTTGCTATAGTTATAACCATTTGAAGTTTGACAAACAGGCAGAATATACATGCTGAAAGTAAATATATAATGCATAAAATAATAGCACGCACAGGAAACAGTGCTTGAAAGACTTTTCCCCAGTCATTTGGATCAAGAAGTTGGATGTGCTCTGCTGTTGTTGATGTGTTTTTTTTGTGACTGGAATTATTGTATTTTATACTTGAGCACCAGATTGTATGCTGTTCATGTTTTAATCCTTGCACACTGCCCGCAGTATTATTCTGAGATGGCTGGTCACGCACTCAATTGCATTTTGGGAAATTCTACAGAAACCATTTGAATAAGGTATAATTCAGACACGAAGGGCTCATGAAGACAGCCTCCTGATCCCTGGTCCAAGATGGGTCTGCTTACTGCTTGTTGAAGACCCCATTTTTACAGTGGCGTCTCCATCTCATTGCCAGACTGTTGTTGAGACAGACTGAAGTCAGGGTCAAGGTGACCTGGGAGGAAAGTTGTTTTCCATTCGAAGTGCAATAATACCTTCTAGGCAAACATTCTGAAATGCATCAAAAAGGAATCTAAAGGTGGTCGGCAACCTGTAAGCTCCAATTAGCTCACTGCAGCACTTCCCTACCTGACTGTTAGGCCTGTTTCCTTTCTGGCTGCTGATGAGAATAGAGCCTTGCTGCAAAGCCTGTAAGAACTTCTTCTGCAACATTTTGCAAACATTCATGCTTGTTTTCTGGCTCAAGGAATTCTATCACAGATGAACCAATACAACAACATTTTCTGATGGCCTGTATTTTAAAAGTGTTATATAATCAAAACTTGGCTCCATTAACTATGAAACAAAACTAAAAAAGAATACATGTTGTTGTCAAGTGTTCTCCAAAAAAGTTTCCACAATCAAAAAGATGTTAATCTGAACATGCTATCTCAAGGAGATTGCCTTATGCAAAGTCTAAGGAATATTTCTTTTATTAATAAGGTAAGACTGAGCAAATATGTTCAATATTACATATGGGAATCCCCATGTTATTGAGTATTTCTTATCCCGTGTATATAAGCCTTCTCCACTGAGATAATGGGTTATCCCATATAACTGCATAGGACTGATTTCAATACAGCAATATTTAATCAAGATAGCAACTGATATATAATAGTAACAATATGGGATCCTACCTACAATCAGAGTAATACCCATATTGAGGGAGCTGACCCATGCTGTCAGCCCTCGACTTTGGCTGAACTCTTCAAGCCATTCCATGTTGAGAATTCCAAGAGCCATTTGTGACCCCATGATGAGTATATGCACCAGGAAAGAGGAAAAGACTATCATCCAAGCCCATCCTCTATCAATATCTGGATTTGACTTCAGCTTCTGCTCCCTCTCTTTGGAGTTCTTTTCAGAATCAGAATCAATATCTTCATGACTGTCATACATTTTCGGTCAAGTACCTTGAAAAAAATCAAATATTTAGTAGTTCCTGATAAAAGTTGCATTTCATTTACTTACTGTTACATTTTTTAATAAGATGAAACACAAGTGGATGATACTTGCCAATTGGCCATTTGAACAGGCTTCATTGAATTGGCTACCTTTCAGAATAAATCAGGATAAATTTTGGGGGGGAGGGATTGTCCCCATAGTTGAGCATGCTACTTACAAAATTTCAGGCACCTGTGCTGCCTTCTTCCCTTCTTGTTTGAGCTTCCCCCACCCCTCATCACGCAGCAGGGCTGCTATTCAAGCTGCAACCTTGAAACAGGTGTGGGAGAAGATGGGAGTTTTGGAAGCTCTGTAATTACCAGCAAATAGGGTGAAACAGCCAAACCAAAGAAGGTATTTTTCTTTCAAAAGGAATAAATTGTCCAGAGGAAAAAGGCACAGCAAGAAAAAGTACAAACACAATATGGCACAATGGGGAAAGTTGCAATTATTCTACATATTCCTTATTCTATAAGGTTCAGTAATAGAAGAAAAAAACAGAAGAAACAGTGTAAGAGGAAAATAACTTTGCTATAGAATGTAGTATTGTAATAATAATTGAATAATAAAAGTATTGTAGGTGTAATTATTGTAGTAATAGTAACTTGTATAGCAATTTAGAAATAATAGCAATAGGACAGAATATAGAGAACACTTTGTATATAGGCTTTGTATACACTTTGTATATAACACTTTGTATACATTTTTAAAATTTTACTTTTCTATATTGGTTTTTATCAAAATAAAATATCTTTCCAACCTTTATAAGGAAATATTAAACATCTGTCCAGACACCAGGGCTTTTGTGGCTCTTTTGAATCTAAGTCAATCTAACTGAGTTTAGTTTTTTTAAAAAAAGTGTGATTCACCCAAGTTAATAATGTAGGATACTTTAGGGTTAAACTGTTTCCTTGCTTGGTATAAGTATAGTCAATAGCTTTAAATTTTTGTTATATTGCATCTTTAGCCAATATAATTTTAAAAATATAATTGTGCCATGCTTACCAGCATTTATGTAGAAGCACCTCTAAAACTAAAATTGATTAAAGAACAATATGAGAGAAAAAGGCAACATGTGGATTTTCATTTTCAAACACCTCTTCCATTGATATAATAGCACATAAATATTGTATATCTGGTAAAAGTTTTATTTGTTTCTGCAGCTGACTTAAGGAAAAACAATGAGGGCCATTATCTAACCTAAAATTAACCTACCTGCTGCTTTCTATAATATACCATCTGCACTTTTGATTTTGCATAATTATACCATCTGTTGTTTATCTCAAGATCTTAAAAGCTGCTTTCTGAGCTCTGCCCCTTCTGAACTACTCTCTTTTTAAAAATGTGTTGTGTTTGCAGTATCAGGTATTCCAGCTAAAATGCATTTACTAGTAAATTTTGCTCACATCTGCAGAAAAAAATCTTTGCCTTTGGAAGAGAGGAGATAACATGCTCTTAAACCTGGGAAGATAAATGACAGAAATATATGAATTCACTCTTCACAGGCTCATTTTATCACATCATTTCACTGTTGTCTGAATAATCAGAACAGCAAAAAACATGTGAGCCACTTTGATCTAATAGTTAAAGTACCAAACTAGAAACCTGGAGATTGTAAGTTCTAGTCCTTCCTTAGGCATGAAAGCCGGCTAGGTGAATTTGAGCCAGTCACAGTCTCTCAGCCCAACCCAGCTCACAAGGTGGCTGCAGTGGGGAAAATAGGAAGGTGTATTAGGTATGTTTGCTGTTTTTCAGTTATTTACAATCAAATAAAATAAAATGAAAATAATAAAGAGGTAAAATATATAAAAATATGGGATACTAGACTTTACATGTTAAAAGTCTGTGAGATAAAACTATAAAGAGCAAGTCTCACAAAATATATGGGAAAACACCAAACTTGGATGCCTTAAACTATAGTTAAATTATGGTGTTGTATTAATTATTGATTGTTTAATTTTATTAAAGATATTTACATTGCAGTGTATTTATTACAACAACAGCTATATTGCAGAGCCAATTCATTCACACTGCAGCTTTATTGAAAGATGCAAAATTTTTGGTAACTGAAAGTATTTGCTACCCAGCAAAGCATTTCTAAGGTGACTATTTCTATACACACACACACACACACACACATATACATATCATATCTCTGGACATCTGAACTGTAAATATACTCTGAAACAGGAAAGGTCATTGTTTTTTCTAACAAGCTATGCCCACGCCCCATCCACTGGACAGTACTATGATAGGACACAAGATCTCACCTCACAACTGAGTCATCTTGACCTCCTACCATAACCTCCATTCATTCCCTTGCATGACCAGGCTACTGTTCCACAATTAAATACCATGAAAAAAAATTAGAAAGGAGAAGGAAACTCTTTGGAGAAGCAATGACAAACACTGTTATTTGTTCTAAACCAAACAAGATAAGCAGATCCCATTAGGCAATGAAATATTAATCAACTCTCATACTCTTTTGTCAGAAGTTTGACATTTAGGTTTTTTTTTAAATTATTATTTCTATGTTTGTCATGACCAAGGACAATATATAATATAAAGAGGGAAAGCTGGTGTGAGAGATTGCATCTCTGAAACTCTCACAGAAATTTTAGCAATCGCTTTCCCATTTAGGTATGAAACTGATAAATTATTTTTATTCAAGGTAGAGAAATTACCTGAATAAAACAAAACAAAACAAAAGTTATTAAGATAAAATATTCTGACATTTCAGGATAAAGACTACATTTTATACCACAAATATAGGTAGTCCTCAATTTACAACAGTTCATTTAGTGACCATTCAAAGTTACAGTGACACTGAAAAAAGTTACTTATGACCATTTTTCACACTTATGACGGTTGCAGCATCCCCATGGTTACATGATTGAAGTTCAGGCCTTGGCAACTGACTCATATTTATGACCCTTGTAGTGTCCCAGGATCATGTGATCAACTTTTGTAACCTTATGACAAGCAAAGTCAATGGGGAACCAGATTCACTTAACAACTGTGTTACTAATTTAATAACTTAACAAATGTCGTAAAATGGGGCAAAGTCGTAAAATGGGGCAAAAGAAAAGTTGTAAAATGGGGCAAAACTCACTTAACAAATTTTTCACTTAACAACATAAATTGTGATCATAAGTTGAGACTACCTATAAACAGATATCCTGGGTAAGTTGTCAATATATTGCATATAATTCTAGTTTGCAGAAGGCCATAGTATGTTAGCTTGCAAGGTAATCTCTATAGTAGAGATCCTATATTAATTTAATATTGGATGTGCCTGTAGCATCCAAAATATATCACACTGATTGTTAACTATCCAGGTTAATGTTATGTAATGCTGCTATAGAGCCTGCATCTTCTCTATATAATTAAAATTGTAATATAAAATCTTCAGTTGACCATTGCTATTATAAAGTCCTGCACAAGATCAAGGGATCTAGAACTATTCAGATTTCAGAAAGGTATATTTAATAGTGTTCTGGAGTAAGTATAAAAACTTAGAAACTAGGCAAAATTTCCCTCTTTCATTTGCAGTGTTAATAATTCAAATTCTCTTTGAATGATTTGAAACAGTATTTCCCAAAATATTTTTGCATAAGATTATATTTACATCTATAAGATAAACTATCAATCAACTCTGTTATTTGATTGTTTATGCCTATTCTCTCTTCTGCTCAGCTTCCCCCAATCTCTATCAGCCATGACAAATGGCAGAGATCATTAAGTGCAGGCTGAACTGGTAAAGACTGTGATATATCACACACACACACACACACACACACACACACACACAAACACACACATTTTCTGCATGAAGATAGTCTGGTCTTGTAGATTTGAGTTGATGAATAACTACAAGAAAATAAAGGTATACATTTAATTATTAATGAAAGGAACAAATATGTATCAGAACTGATTTCATCAAGACTGCATAAGAAAGTAGAAATATACAGGTTGATGATAGCTGCAAGTCACATCCCAGTGAATAGTTACAACAGAAAATACAGAGATGAATTTTGGGGAAATTTCCACAACTTTGAAATGAATGGGATCTGGGAGTGAATGCGTGACAATTATACTGCTAGGTGACATAAATCGACAGATGAAACCAAAATGAGTACAAACAAAATATGATGAGGTTACTTTGAGTCACAAAAATGAACCAAAATGATAACTGTATGTGTGTATGTGTTTAGAAAAAGGTCCCTTTTGAACACATATTTTAAGCGTGGCACATGAACAAATTATAAATCTAAAACTTGATTTGATTATGCTAAAATATTAAGAGAAATAGTGGGAATACATGGCTAATCAGAGAGTCTTAATGTGAGACAGAACATTTTGGGGGGGGGGGGTAAAATCAAGAGCAGATGAACAAAAGGAAAGAATATGCATATTGGCCATTTTCAGTTACATAAAATTTTTAACGCACAACACAATTGTAAATAGTATAAAATATATCATTTTGACAGCAAACCATTTAAATGTAGGCAGGTTATGATTTCTGCTTCATTGAGATGTCATGTGGTCTAAGGAATCCAGTGTTTCATTCTCTCCTAAGTTCCATACTTTTGTTCTCCAAATATTTTTGGATTGGCTATTCCATTTCTGTTCTTTTATGTACATCTGTTGGCTTCAAATACTATGATTTTCATATTTTCCTAGCCTAGTCTGTTAAGCACCTTACCCAATACTCAGCAGCTCAACTCCACATGTTTTGATCATTTGGTATTTTAGTGGAATCCAATGTTCTTCCTATCTGGTCTCCACTGACCATCCTATGTATATTTTCTTGTGGGGTGACATGGGTTTTCAAAAATAGTTCCTTCAGGTTTTTGGGGAATTACTTTATACAGGCATTTTTGTCTTACTCTTTTGAATTATCTTGATCTTTTCTGTGTATTTATTGATTTATTGCATTTATGGTATATCCTTAC